ATGTTTGAATCAAGCTTTGTTCTTTTCAAGCTCATTAGCTCTTTGGTTAATTGCTTTATCATGAAGTTTAGTGTTAGACATGATCTTGCATTAGCAAGATGATTCCTAACTCAAGACTTCAGCTCACTGAAGGAATTCCTCCCATTCAGACTGCTGGCAATCATTTGGCTACCGTACTTCTCATTCCTCTATTCTCTGACACTTTTAAAATTAGATCAGTGGAAACCACCTCCAATTTTCCCTAATCCCCCATCAGCGGTCCTCACCCGTCCCAACACTACCAGTAAATTTTAATAAAGCCAAGGTGAATATGAAATAAATAAATTAAAAAAAACAAACACAAAAAACTAAACACACACACAAAAACAAACAAACAAAAAAAAAAAGCACAAGAAGAAAAAAATGTGATATCTGTAGCTCAAAGCCAGAATAGAAAGCAGCTTTCTTAATTTGTATGCACCAAAGTTTGTTTATAATTGGGGGCATCTCTGCCAGGCAACAGTAATTACAGTTTCTACACCACACGAGTTGGAGCCACAGGGCTGCCATATAAAATCTGGCACATATCAGCAGGGACCAACGAGCGCAAAGTTGTCACCCGAGGGACACTTCCATTACGTGACAAAAGTGAGAAGGTAATTTGATTTACTCTTTAGTTAGGCAACTTCTGTCAAACCTGCAGCCATACACAGCAGTGGGGGAGCATGAAGATTGACTACAAATGAGTTTGCTGACCTGCCGGGGTCACACATTCCAAAAAACAATTTGTGCTATCATTTAGCTGAAGATATCGGTTGCTAAAATGTGTTCCATGGCTGATTTTGACTAATGGTTCAGGTGCATAAAGATAGCAGCCTTCAGGCTTAACATTATATCCAAACCCAGAGGCCAATAGCATCTGAAAAACTAAGACCACTCTGGCAAGTTTGGAAAACTAAATGGTGAATAATAGTGTGTAGAATCAGATTTTTTTTTGGTTTTTAATTTAAATGTAACTAATCACTATAGCTAGTATTTGTATTGTTTTCATTGCAGCAGTATTGGCTGTGCATGTGCACTCTTTAAATGCTGTAGGCATATGTGCAAGCAGATTAGCATGATTTTTTTGTCTTTCAGTTCAGTGAGGCAGTGTCTGTATTTGATACTATCAAAGATTTTTTGTATTTATGAGAAACCTTGATATCAGATAAACCCGTAAAAATTCCAATCTTCCAACAAGATTAACAGAAAGAAGACATCAAGAAAAGGAAATATCGTTAAGAAATAACGCTATAAAGGCCAGGAAACAGGAGATCTTGCTCCAAAAACATAAATAAATAAATAGCATGGTCAGATGAGCTTTACTGTAACACAATAGAATCTCTCTGGTTTATATCTGAGAGGAGTAATAAATCAGGTTTAATACACAACGGTATGGCACAGTTTAAATGTTAAGACTAACAAAATGTTTTAGATATTGACAAATGTGTAAAAATGCACACAGCATGTGTAATGCTTCTTGATTCTATCCTTCTTTCCCTCACTGACTCTGCAACCATAAATGACTGCTGTATTCAAATCTGCATGACAAAGCAGTACAAAGTTCAGTCCTGCTGCACTGTTGGCTACATTCTCGCAAAACTAGAACTATTCCATCTTCATAATGTCAAAATGATAAACAAAATTCTTAAGACGGCACAATTTCTTCAAGTAAGTGGCAACTTTTAAGGATGAAAGGTTACCTTCAACATGACAGCTGTTTTCAAGGAAAGTAAACTGGGAAAGGGGAAAATGATAAGCACTGACATTCTTTTTCTCTATTGATGTATTTCCCTATCTTGATGCTGCTTTTAGGATGCAGGTTTAGTCTAAGACTGTTTTAACAGAATACTAATTCAAGTGGGTTAGAAGTCCATTTTTGCTTTCCAAAGCAACATCAACAACACAGCAAAACTGACTTTTATAGCATTCAAGCAGCGCAGGGCCAAAGTATGCTAGGTGACTAAGTGAAGAACGGTGTGGGAAATATAATGCTACAGGGCAGCTTCTGTCTTTATCATGCTGTCTGATGATGCACAATCTTGCCAGAAGCATTTTTAGAGAACCAGCACAGCCATCCCGGTGTTTGGAGAATGGGTCCACTTGTGTCTGCTGATCTTAGATTCTGTTGTTTTGTATTTGTCTGTTTCTTGAACATCCAAAACATTGCAGGAGCTATTTTGTGCTGATGTCTTGCAGTATCCCTTCTGGTGTATTTCCTTTAAATCTGAGTGCACTTTTGTGTAAAAATGTAAATGATTTTGCTTTTTTAAATAGGTCTTCTTCAACTAATTTATATACTTGAATCTTACTTTCAGGGAGTTTAGGAACTTGCAGGCACAAGGTAATGAACATAGCTTAAACAACAGTGGTATCCTAATATTTCAGTAGTCAGCCAAGTTGGCCTGTTCTCAGATGTCTTACTGACATTTTGTCAAAGCTGCTTGTATCTTACAGATTGGTCTCTCACTCCCAATTTATCACATATAGAGGTTCGTGAAGGAGTCCCATTGAAAGCCATAGGTGGTGGGGCTACCCCTGTAGCATACCTGACAGAGCTGCCTAGTTGTTGCTGTAGCTGCCTGGGTTTCAGTCACCCCCAGGCCATTTGCTGCATGTCATTCCCTCACTTTGTCTCCCCAGCTTTCTCTCTGTTCTACAATATCGCAATCAAATGTATGCGTTCTTGTTCTTTAAAAATGGCAAATTAGCTCTCAAAGTCCAGTGGTGGGGCAGTCCATCAGTAGTGTACAACTTGTGTCTAACGTAGCAATGCCTGTGACACCAAAGAGAATATCAGTATTTGATGGCCGTGGTCCTGTTTTGTTATGTCTGTAAAACGTGCTTTCTGCTATACTATTTGTAGTCTCCAGGCAAGGATGACCTTGAAGTAACTGGCATGATGTCATCAGGGTTACTTTTTCAAATATTTGCCCAAGGATGACTCTGTGCTTTGTGTCACTGAGCTGACCTGAAAATTATCTTCATACACAGCAAAATCTCCAGTGTTAAATTAACACTAGAGAGTGTCTACATGGGTCCACACCTCTGAGTGTTAAATACAACACTGTTGAGTGTTAAATTAACACTTTTGACAGTGTTATATGTTTAAAAGTAACCTGGTCAGTTTTGAAGATTAACAATGGCTAACACTGAGCAGTGCTGATTTTCTAACACTGGAAAATAACTCAAAATGTTAGAAATATTCCAGTGTTAGAAAATCAGCACTGCTCAGTGTTAGCCATTGTTAATCTTCAAAACTGACCAGGTTACTTTTAAACATATAACACTGTCAAAAGTGTTAATTTAACACTCAACAGTATTGTATTTAACACTCAGAGGTGTGGACCCATGTAGACACTCTCTAGTGTTAATTTAACACTGGAGATTTTGCTGTGTAGCACTGTCTTCAACGTTTTGTAGTGTTGACCTCTAGCCTGTATAAGAAAAGCACACTCATTCGGCAATATTTATAAAAATATATTTCACAAAGTAGGAAACAATACAGGGTATCTTAGATTACAGTACAGGGAGTAAATAATTGAACATACACATTTATAAGCATTAAAGCACAGTAGAAAATATGATCTGCATGTAGGACTATTCCATATATATTGTTTAGTCTACCGAGAACTGCCATAATACTGTATCAGTACAAACTGAGTATGCACGCAGCTGTAGTGCCATTGAAATTCTCATAATGTGCAAGAGCTAACGTGCAGAGACAAAACCTACCACCTCATTGAAAGCTAATGACGTTAGCAGTAACTCTATGTACAGTACAAGTCTTTTTATTGATATCATACAGTGTAAGCACAATATGCACATGGTCCTGATCCGCAAATTCATTTTTCTTGGGCTAACACAATCTGTGTTTCCTAAATGAGATTTGATGTTTAAAAAGAGTCACTTAGTTCTCAATTGGACTATTGTGCTCAGACGCTGCACCTCGGAATATATTACGAAATATATTTTACACAGAATTAGCATGTGTCAGAAAGATCCCATTTCTGAAGTCCCAATTAATGAATTCATCTGCATTGCTACAGTAACCTAGAGGTCTTGTTTGCCTGCTTAAATCTAATCTACATCATCAACTGCAATAGGTTTATGATATGGTTTGGCTGTTATGAAATAGTGTTTGAGTGGTTAGAAAAAAAACTGTTGAATGTGAAATAATCTGAACACACTCACTTCAAATAGTCAGCACAGAAAAAAAGACTTAGGAGCAGATATACAAAAACTCAGAACAATAATGAAGAATCAACACATCTCTTGTCAAAAACAGTAGATTACAATTGTATTTAATGTTGCTTCTGTAAAAAGAAGGCCTCAGAGTTTCTACATTTCTCTTTTTTGTCTTCACTTCAGTCTTTTATAGGCTAGTAACGCTTGCAACCCACACCTGTAGCATGTAAATACAAAGAGTTGTATAAAGCAAGCCTTTCTGGGCTTTAGATAGTTTATAAATGTGGCCACCAGAGAACATATCAAATGATAACAAATTCACCTTAAAGCCAATACTGGTTTGTCTTTTTGCTTTTTTTCAAATCATACATACATTCATCATTGTAATGAAGACCATATATTGCTTTGTCATTGTCTTGTTCCTTGCAATCACCATCAGCTGGGTGGCTTAGGGAGACAGGAAACCCTCTCCACCTTCTGTAGTCCAGCTTGTTGTCCATGGAGCATCGAGCATGGTGTCCGCTCAAGCTTCAGAGAACCCACAAATATCTGTTCACTGAGCAACTACCAGCAATGCCAGGGTTTTTCTGCTACTGGTAGTCACAGTAAATGACTAACACCCAAAATACTGCTAGACACTCCACAACGGAATCTAAGTTACACTCCACAAGAATCATAGATCTCCTAATAAAGACATTGTTTGGCTGAACAATTATAATGCGCTTGACATAGTAGATGACAACTGCTATACCTCACTCTAAAAAGATTACAAAAAGGTGGCCTCCCTTGTTATTAACTGTTTTTTTTTTCTTTTTAAACACCAGTTTCTAAAAGCCAACAAACCCCCTAGCGTTCAATACACAAGTATGTGGACAGAAAAAAAAATCTTAAGTCTTTTTTTTTGTTTGTTTGTTTTTAAGAAATCAAAGGTCAGGTCTCACGGTCACTCTCACCCACAGAGTAGAGCTCCCCAAGTCTTCTGAAGCGTGGACCCCATTCTCTGAGATAGTCATAGTTCTGGTCAGAGTCTGATGACGCTGTCTCCAGTGAGCTGAGGGAGCCAGCAATGGATCCCCGGCCCTCGTATCCATAGATCTGGATGGAGTCGTAAGGTGGTGCTGTTGGATCATTGTCTGCCTCGTGGAGCCGTACGTTGATGAATTCATCTACATCCACACCATTTGGACCCGAATGTTGACCTGCCCGTGGCATAAACTGCAGGTCAGGCTTGATATCCTTGCGTGGCAGGTACCCATTGATGCCATCTGGGTTCTGCAGCGTGGCAATGTCAAATGCTTCGGTGTCCTCCTCACCTCCTCCTTCATCATCATAACGGATAATATTCTCCCTCACATCTTCGTCATCCTTGATAATCAGAGGCTCATTCTTGTGTCTCCTCAAGGTCACGAATAGTACTACTATTACTGTCAGAAAGAAAGATTGAAAAATAGGTAGAAAAATACACGGGAAACTAGGTTAGGATTGGTCAAGTGGATTTTTGTGTTAGTACAAGTACATCTTTTATGGAGGAAAAAAATCTATGATGTCTACAACATCCATTAAAACCACTTCAATGGAATGATGCACAACAGAACGGATACCTCACCTAGCAGTAGTATAATGCAGGCAAGGATGGCAATTAAAGCCCCCATACTAAGTCCAATGGGTAAGACATACGCCTCCACGTTGCAAGACTGGACAATGCCATCCTTACTGCACCCACAGACTCTGATCGTCAAGGTGTTGGTGCTGCTCATCGGCGGATTCCCATTGTCCGTCACAATGATTGGCAGGAAGTACATCTCCTGTTTCTGTCGTCGGAAGGTATCATGCTTGGCTAGGACACTGATTGAATTGTCTGTCAGAGAGATGTAAAGCCAGAGATGAATTTTTGCAAGGGCGTGAGAAAAACCCATTATTATTCATGGTGGTGACAGACTGAAGTTCTATTATTAAATTGTGTGAAGATCAGTGCAGCATGAGGGTAAACTAATTCCACATCAATCGCCATTAGGCTTTTTAGCATTCTCACATTCCAATGCTGTAGATAGATTCCAACCACCTTCCTTCGTTTCTCTACAGTCCAATTTGAGGATTCTGAAGAAAGGTGAATCTGAATTCGCCGTCCCTCTTTGAAAGTGAAGGAAATGAAGGGACCACGGCAGGCGACACTGGCTAAGAAGATGGCACATGTCGACCCAGAAAGGTGCCAGCTGCTCTTTGATGGCACTTCTGTGAAGCTGTCTGCTCATTAGCTGGCACTCCTTAGCCTCCTCACATTATCAAACACTTGCAGTCCCATAAGAACCTACTCCTGCTGATCTTATGGAAAACATACAAGATTTCTGATAGTCTAACCTTTGCCTCGCAGCTTGAGGGTGATACAGAGAGAAGGGCCAAGTTGAAACATTCGTGTTGACAGAGCAAACTTAATCATAAGATGGAAGACTTCATGATAGAATTATTTGCTTTGCACAATCTGTAATTGATGTGAACATATGCTCAGATTAATTTTCTTATGAGTGCTGCCACAAAGTGATACACTCTGCTTTGTGAGCACCGACATGTCCCTTTTTATTTAGATCATTGAGCACTGCATAGTAAGAAGTATAAACTATAGTGAAGTAAACCATTGGGGCATGTTCTGATATGCAGATGATTTGCATTTTCCTAGCAACTATTGATGGTAAAAAATAGAATTGCCAATCGACATACGGAGTTTCTACTCAAAGAGAAAGACAGCTGTGCACATAACCTTCAAACAGACTGAACTCACTAGGTTTACAACAATGCTGTTTTTATTACCTTTTATATATTAGGCCACTTGAACAGTGTTTCATCTACTGACTGTTAGCGTTCTGATGAACACTGTGTACATTGAAATATTAATTGTCACTATGACAAAAGCAAAGCCTTATTTAAATTAAGATTTGCTATAAATAACGTATTATGTGGGAGGCTACAAATGACAGCAGTGACAGCAAAAGTGACACCAACAGTCTAAACACTTTCAAATTCCCGATGCCTCTGAAGTTTCACAACCTACATAAATTAAATGTTTTATAACCTAACATGAAAGGATCTAAGAAGTGAAAGAGGTCATATTGGTAGGACCAAATTTGCCTAGAAATAAATATACAAAATGGTTAGGGTGTCAGTTTGTGTCACAGTTGTATTGTGTCCTCATTATTGGCATGTCATTGTATGCTGTATAATCACAGACACTAATAATTAGTCCCTAAAAAAGCCTTTCCTTAAATCTGAGTGTAAGACTACATGTTTCACTGACAATCTTTCAGCATCACAACATTAACAAAATTAACATGCAGCAGTAAATGTTGTTTATAGAGCCGGAGACAATTTTGTGTTAACATGCAGTAAAGGCTCATTCAGCAGTGGTGATGAAGAATAAGGACTACAACAATTAATATTTAAACTGACTGACACTTGCAGGTAAAGTTTGAGGCTGTTCGGTGTACAGCTAATTGGCTAATTAGCCTGCAAAATTACATTAGCAAGCATTTTTCCTTTGCTAACCTTTGTCTTGTAGCTGGTTCAGCAAGTCGGGGTGAAAGACACAATTCTTTGGTGTTGTAGGAGGAAAGAGGGGGCATAATGACAAAACTTTGGGCAGTCTGAATAGTTACACTCTTATTTGAAAAGTCTGTTTATATTTAAATTTTTAAGAGACGATTTATCAGCAATGTATCATAACCAGTAACTGCGATATGGACTGTTGCAGTTACTGGACAGTGCTACTTGTCCCGCTCACAATGATGCTAAAAAAAAGTAGAGGTAAAGTGAAGGAGCAATTTTAGAGAAAATTATTCAGCATCTAACTGTCTGTCTAACTGTATTAGGTCCTGGATTACAAGGTTGCAGTTTAAATTTGGATATACCGTGTGGATTGCATATGTAGAGTGTGTGCAGCAGGCACTCTGGCAATCAAAAGCAGATAAACACATGTACGGTGCATGTATGTATGACATTTATTCATAATATATCTTGATGGTCATGGAAATAGGAGGGCACCTAGAGATGAACCTCAAATATTGGAGGCACCCAGGAAAAAAAGTGTTGCCAAGTAGGAATTAAATTTTTGATGGACCCTTTAATTTTTTTAATAAACAAGGATCACTCTGAATAGTCGCAAGTATAAAGATAATGCTAAAAGGTGATGTAGAATTGAAAGGAGATGATTCTGTTCTATTAATGACGATAAAGTAGTACCTGTCAAAGACTATTTGACATTAGCCACCAGAAACTGTAGCGGTAAAACCCTTGAGCATAATGAATTTAGCAACAGTACATTTTATTCCTAATGTGTTGAACATTGCATTTGTAAAAGGAACATTGTGTTATTTCCTCATACAAATGTTAGTGTGAAAATAATGTCTATCAGCAGAATTACATTTTTTGCATCATGGTGAGTATGTTGTCTCAGCTACCAAGGATGGGAAGCCCTGCTCTGTTGCATCCCGCCTACTGAATACTCAGTTGTGAGGACGCTCAGTATCTTCTATATAGCTGGTCAGAACCTTCGCCATTTTCCCCATGGCAGGCTACCCCTAACCTCTTCACTGTGCATTCCCTACAATTAGACTCATCATCACAAACAAAAGCAGCACACAGAGGCTCACAGGAGCCCGGCGCTCTTCACTGAAGTGTCTCCCACAGCTGCCGCCTCAGATAGAAATAGTCACTCAAGTGCAGAGGAATATGGTGCAATGGTGCTTTTTTCTGTTTAGAATTAACATTACCATAGACAAGTGGCTGCTGTGGTGTGGTATGTAATATATGGAACCAAACCACAACACATATTTACTTTTGTTTCAGGCATTTGAGGAAGAGAGGAGGCTTTTTGTTCACTGGTCAAACACAGAGCTGTGCTTTTAGAGGTGAATCATTTCTAGTGGAGGTTTTATCTGTTACATCATCTTAAGAAACTAATAAATCTCCTCTGCACAAAAGGACAGGATTCAGGAGCATGCATGTTTTATAAACTTTGAAGTTGATCCAGAGTTAAGACTAAATAATCTGAAGCAAGTCTGTGCTGATGCAGCCTTTTATTCATAACACGTTGGGATGTTATGCACATATCCTGCCAGTGCTGTTCAGAAGCGCAAGGTTTGTTAAAAATATTATAATAAAAAAAATGGTAGCCCACTTGACCTGATTCATACAAACTCATCTTGCATCAAAGAGAGGTAGCAGTAACTTTGCCTACAGCTTCCACATCGGAACAGAAGGGTAGTACCATATGAAGATCTTTCTGCCCCAAGCTGAAACTATTACACAACTCATGGTGAACACAGTCGGTTCAGAGTCGGTAATGAAGGAAAGGCAAGAGAAGAGGAATGGAATAAAAAACATGAGAAAATGGCAAATAAACCATTCAGAGTATTTAGCAAATAAATTTAGTACCATCTGCCACACTGCAACAGCTCCTAGGAAGTCACCCTACATTTAGCTGAAAGAATACCAGGAAAAGCCATTTGGATCCCATTCATTTAGTTTCCCTCAAAACGCGCTGGGGAGTAAAAAGAAGCTGGTGTCCAGACAATTTCACATCTGCTAATTGTGAGCTACACTGATCCACCAGATTTCATCTCCAGTATGGCTAACGTGCCGCGGGTTGGAGATTAGACTGGAAAGCCATTGAAAAAATTTGCAGAAACTTCAGTCATTCTGCCACAAAAGACTTATTTTTCTCTGATGTCACCTGCTTCTCACCTTGGTTGTTTTTGATGGTAAAATTGGGGTTGTTTAGCATCTCAGGGACTAAACGATAGTCAAAGTAATGGCCCTGGATTGGGTCATCTTTGTCCACCGCACTGACAGTCTGGATCACCTGTGTTGAAAACAGATAGAAAAGCAGATTTACAGAGGAGGGCTCAAAGCCATTAGAGGAGGCAGCCTATTCATTACTCTGTTTTTGCCACCGCAGATTGCCTCAGTGTAATAGTGGCTGGATCATACCTGATGAAATATGTGCCCTATTCATTCCTGGAGTTTGAGATTATTATCAATGAGGTCCTGTCTAGTCTGGCACACTTTCAGGCTCCTGGCTCTATCTGTTAATCTGTCATCATAGGTCTTATCACACTGTATGTCTTTATGATTTATTGGAAATTAGAATTCAGGCCCGGCAGGACAGTTTCATCTTTTCTCTGTTTACTTTTTTTTCTCTCTCCTCCTTTCAATAAAACTCCCTATGGTATATACACAGGTCCCGTGAATGAGGTCGATTGATGAAAAGGAGAATGCTAAGTACTTGTCCACGATTTTTGGCTGGGGGAAGCATTGTGCCATCTGGAGGAGGACATGAAAGACAGTCTTGAATTATGATCCACTCTGATCAATCCTGACTGCTCTCATTTCCCCTTTGCTCAGCGCACACTGTGTGGAAGGAGGACTTTTGTGGAGAAAAAAGACCGTACTCCCACCTCTGTAGTTTCCCACTGAAATAAATAGCCTATAATTCACTGTGGCCAATCATTACAAAGGAGGAGAAAGAGAAAGAAAAGGACAGAGAGTAAGAAATTGATAGATAACTGCTTTGATGAATGAACGTCTTCTTTCCTTACCTGTCCAGGCTTTCCATTTTCACATAAAAAGGCCTCGTATTCGGTGGCAAATTCGGGTGCATTGTCGTTAATGTCCATTACTCTGATGGCCACAACTGCCCTTGATATCTGACTGTGATTTCCTGATTAGATAGATAGATAGATAGATCGATAGATCGATAGATCGATAGATAGATAGATAGATAGATAGATAGATAGATAGATAGATAGATAGATAGATAGAATCATAAGGAATCAAAAGATGTAGAGGAAAAGTGGAGATTAATAAATAAGAAGAGCCAGTGATGGAAAAAATGTTATACTTGAAATCCCAGGTAAATTCTGTGACCTAGTTTTAATTTCCTTTATTTTCCATCTTTATTCTCCCTTCATTTCCTGGGCTGATGGGAGGACAGATGATAAGCCACATCAATCTAAATTTCAGCCAGTATCAACGATGCAAAACAGGATTCTAGGCAACAGAAATGGAAAAAAAATCCTATTCAAAGTGCTTTTGAAAATCCCCTGTACACTGTAATGTTTAAAACATGAGGGTTAAAACATGCATATTAATGAGTCATTGGTAACTGAAGTCTAAAAAGACAATAAAAGGCAGTTTAATTAGATTAGATTTTGATTGGAATTATTCATCACTGGTAATTGACAGTCGCTTTCGAGAGTCTCTGTGAATGGTGTATTTATTAATCAGTGGTGCAAATGCCAACTTTAAAAGCAATTATCTATTAATGTGGACCCAAGAGGGTTGTGTCACCATGGCCAGTGACAATAGTGATTTTTGTTTAAATTATTTTTATTGATTTGGAAAATTATCAATTTAAGAGAATGCTTTGCAATGTTATTTTAGACGTACACTACATTTTTCTTGAACCGTGCGTGTGTTTTTGTAATTTCCTTTCATTTTTACAGATTAGCTACACTGAGGACATGCTTATATACAACATACTTTATGCTGTATACCAGGTACCACATCATAAAGTCAGCATATGTGATCGCATTTTCCCAGAGTTCTCAGATTTTATCTGCTATAAACATCGGGCCATACCAGACAGAGTGAAGCTGCAGCAGCAGAAATCCTGAGTGCCGTGAAAAGTGCCTGACTGCCTTTCACTGCTTATGTTCTAGGATAAGTCCCGCCATTCCAACAGCTGTTGTCTTTAAAAGTTACACTGTCACATTTCTATGAAGAAATTAAACCACTGTCACAGAGGATTACATTAATATACATTTCTGAGCATGGAATACCAAATTATTTGCATAAAAGCATTAGGTTTTTTTCTCTTTCATAATTTCAGTAAAACCTTAAAATGAAGCAGTAGACGCAGTAGAAACTCAGGGCCTTCAGCCTTTCCAGGAGATGAATTGAAAAAGAGGTAAGCAGTGAGGTGAGTGGAAATTGACAGTCTGATAGACAGTGATAGATGGATTAGAGCAGAGGGAGGGGAGACAGTGTGCCCTCCCCTCGCAAGCGATTTCCCCCTAGTAGCAGACAGGGAATAGAATCTGATTAGTCAGATGTCAACTGGTGCGAGGCAGCAGAACGTTCCTCAGTTTGGGTGGCAAATGGCATCGGGATAGAACTGGGAACACATCTATTGCTTTTCACGCCAGAGAAGACACCGGCTTCTCCTCCCCATCCGTGAAGAATAGCAAAACTGCTGTATTTATTTTGGCAAATTCCTATTAGGTGTTCTCAGAGATGCCACTATCTCAAGCCACAGTTACTTTGCCAAGAGGCATGAAAATGTGCTTTCAATGTAAGGGTGCACGACATGACAAGGGAACCAGCTTATCAAATGAGACACATTCAGTTTCTCCAATAGGCTGCTGCGACGGTGGGATTTGTCTTTACCGCATGGCCAAAACATTGCGACAGTGTACGGACTTTTTTTTCTTTCTATTTTCTGACAATTAATATGTGTTTTCTTTGATTAAAGAAAGAAAGCGACAGATAGATGATGAGACATAGAGAGGAGGAAGAGATAGAAGAGACGAATCGGACAGAAAAAAGTTACAAGCTGTGTAAATTTCTATTCCAATAGCTTAAAGGGGTACATTAAGCTTTATCACAACATACAGCCCCCCTGAAACAATCTGTATGCAAATAAAGCCTTACATATGGTTGGAGCTGTTTGTAGCTCTGCCGGCAAGATTTTCTACATAGTCAGTGAGTTTTGCGGTTCGCAGATGTTCTCTAATCTGTAATGGATGCTGGCGTTGGAGCAATCCACTCTGGAGCATGTCTTTAAAACTGTTTATTTGATACGTCTTAATGTTCTTGCACTTTCACAAATTGACTACTGAGCTGTTTAATTCAATCAAAACTCAGCAAATTAACGTATTTAATGCCTCTGTGGATTCAAATGCTAATTGTTTGTGCCATACTCTTGGAGCGATTAAAAGTGCTGGTTTAGAAAGCAGCTCTATACTGTTGAATGGAGAACTTTGTGAAGCAGGTCAGTGATTCCTTTGACTGAGAACACCCATAAAGTTGTTCAAAGGAGTAAGATAGCATACATGTGTTTCTGCTGTTACCCATTAAAAAACAAAAAAAACCAAAGCTTTATTTTCTAAAGCTTTGGGGGTAAATCATTACGGACAGTGTGCACAGCAGGGGAGAACAGAGCCAGCAAATGTTACTTACTGACTTCTGTGGCTGTTACTGTAATATTGTGCCACATGTCTGTCTCTCTGTCCAATGGTTTGGCCAGCGTGATCCTGCCATTGTCCACATTGATGTTGAACTGCCTCTCCAGATCTGTGTGTCGATCAATGAAGTACCTACCAAGATAAACAAACACCAGAAATTTGAGCCAAAACACTGTTGCGGCAGCACCACTGAAGCATCTTTTCTAATCCTTGGGGTGTTGTGCCTAACAGGAGAATCCTGTAGATCAATATTCATTTAAAAACAATTGGAAATCAATAATTATCATCTGAGGGATAATTATTGCCTCCCCATGAACAGCAGGGGGCATTACAGCCTAGAAGCCCTCCCCCCCATCTAGGCGATGCCTCCTTCCTGCAAAAAAGACCATTAGTACATGTTATGTCAGGGTAAGAGATGTGGTGCTGTTAACCCTGTTTGGGATCTGTCAACACTCAATGGCTCCCAAAGGCTTTGCATTAATGAGTTAGGACAGCATTGTGTCACATACAACACCAACAACAGAGGGGCATGGGGGTGGGGAGGTAATGAATATTACAGGAGTTAAACAGTGACCTGCCTATTAAGAACCCTTGTCCGATTTCAGCAATTTTTTTTTCTTTTTAAACTAGTAGAAGGAGATGCTTTATTCATTTTTTATTTACGTATTTTTGTCAAGCTGTCCTTTTTCAGATTGAAATTAATCTATGACCCTGCCCGTGACACACTGACTGAGACTTGTATAGTCTTCCAGTTTAAAAAAAAAATAGTGCAACACATAAAACTCCCCACCCCAAAAAAAAAAAAAAAAGCAGAAGCACTGGAATGCACATAAAAGAGAATTTTCTGATGCCACTTGAAGCTGTGAAATCGCTCTTTCATGTTGCAGCACGCACAGCGCCAATTCTTGGGACAAGCCCACACAAAACTGACTAAAAAAGAATCTGTCATTATGGGTCATCTTTGGTTTCACACATTTCATTTGCCATTATGTGTGACTGTCATAAACATCCTACTCACCCAAAACACAAGGCTGCAGTGATTCACGTGAACTAATTACATGTACTGCACAGCACAAGGGTTTCCATACCTCCAGGACACATTGTCCCTGTTACTTTCTCTCTGTTTCCTCACAGTACCCCACCTACCCACCCACAATATTGCAAAAGTATTTTTTTTTCTTCCTTTTCTATCCAGCTGGGTCACAAGCTCTTACTAATCCAATCCCCCTATCCAATTCTGAGCAAACCCCCTTCCCCACACAGACATCCCGGCCATCAGGCACACTGCTCACCCTGTCTCTCCTCCTTCCTCACCCTGGGTCTCATTCTGTCTCACACTGGAACTGCTCATCCCTATCACTGTAGACCTGTTGGCAGGGAGTCTATAGTATTTATGTGAGAGAATGAATGAAAAGACAGAATGGAAAGGAATGCAGAGGAAAGGAAAGAAAAAACAGAAAAAGAGCACCAGAAAATGGCAAAGACAAAGTCACAATAACTATTTATATGAAGAAGGTTGCTGCTTATACAAGAATGGTAGGGAATGAAATAAATAAACCACTGGCCCAGATTCCAATTGTTGGGGAGATGTACCGAGCCGTGACATTTCCATTTTTGAGATGAAATGGTGTAAAATCCTCTAGACGCCAGGCTGGAAGAGGTCCATAAGGACCCCACCCCCCACTACCAACACCCCACCACTCCTTCTCTTTCTCTCTTGGCCTGCAGACGCAAAGCACTTTCAAGACAGGCAGACAGCAGCAACCCACCTGGGAGCAGCCTCTCTCCTGCAGACTGAGTGGATCCCAGTCAAAGTCTGACAGCCTCACGTGGAAGAGAGGAGACAGACCCTGAAATGTTCTGCCACCTGTCACTCAAACTGACAATGTGATGTGAAAAGAATTAAAAGCAAATAAAAAAAATGATCTCCAACATTATACGTTCGCAGCTTTCCCGAGTGTGATGTGAGAACAGGTGCAAATGTATTCACGCGTCCGTGTATTTCTATCACATCATTTCAGCTTTGCTTTATGTTTCAGAAGATTTTTTTTTTCCAAGGCTCTGGACGGGCCTAAGTCAAACAGTTATCCATCATGTTGAGGTTGTTTGTGCCAAATATTTTATAAGTGCTGCAGCTGACATCCAAAAATATTCAGAATCATTATAAACATCATCATCATACATTAGTGGAACATAAGCTCAAATAGCAAAATAGCTACAAGCTATAATTAGACTGTTTTTGTTTGTTTTTTTGTAATTAGAACTTTGATGTACTGCATTTTTCACAGAGTGTCATCTATCAAACAGTGTGGCCAGGATGGGACTTCTCTGTTGCAGTTTATGAGGATGGCCAGTTTTTGCCATGCTAGCTATCATTGGTCATGCTTACTATGCACAGTGATGTCTCCTTTCTGTCACAAAATTTTCTTCAGTCAATAACATAGACTAGGAACAAAACCTAATTACATATTATATATTATTAAAAAAAATTCTTTATGTGTTAAAGGAACAAAAAAGTTAAGTTTGCTTTTGTTCACATTGCTGTGCAGTGGGCCTACTCATAAAGTACAAAATGAATCATTAAGATGACACTAATGATTCTATTATAAAATGAGTATATTATGTTTTTTTCCTTTCCCAAAATTAGGCTCTAATTCAGTTTCTCTATAACCAATTTTATATGTGTGTGGAAAAAAATGTACACATAAAACAGAAGCATTTCCTAAAAAATTTAAATTAAACAATTTTACATATGGCTTTGGCAATGTTGGAGGGAGTTTTATAAAGTACGATGAATTAAAATATTCAAATACAATGAAAAACCAAGAGAAAATGTTATGATAATAATAAATGAAACATTTGTAAAGTTTTCATTAGTTCAAATCGGTTAGAGTTAAAAGTTCAAAAAAGTTATTTAGTCGTTATGGAAGAATTCTTATTACTCTTATTTCAAAATGAAAGACATACATGAATGGTTTACTGTGGCCAAACTAGGCATGATAGTGATGCCTCCCACTTAACTGTTACCGCTAATTGTTTGATGTATCATTATGGAAGCGTCCGATATATCATATAAGCATGCTACACATGTGCTGCAGATATGTATGTCTACCTGTGGTTATCTATTATAGGCAGGCTAAGCAGCCATGGAAAGGTTTCTATGTCCATTTGTGTTTTTTCACACCCCTGACTGGCTGGGGTTTTATCTCCATTACAGTGTGAATGTGAGTGACTGAGCGCCTGTACAAGTTGGAAGACTATAAGGTGAAAAGATTGAGAATATATATATATATATATATATTTTTGTTGGCAGCAAACAAAATGCCCCTGATAATCCTGCTTGCTATTACGTCAGTTATTCCCCTGGGAGGATCACAGGGGTAAAATTAGTTTCCCCGACTCTTAAATGCTGACCATTTATGTTTGAACACAACATCTTATTTAGTTTCATTTCCAAGTTCTTTTAATGGAGATGGTGATTTGCTTGAGAGTTAGAAATAATATATAGTATAAATAACAAAATATTAAAAATATAGGAAAATATCCCTGTGAAGTAGAAGGTGTTTTCTTTAGTGACATTACACTTCCATTTGTTTCAAAACCATCTCCTTTGCTTGACTACTTGTATTACCATACATAGTATGCCAGCTGTCAGCTGTGCCGTAACATATTGAGCCGGCATAAACAAACATTCTTTAGAATTTCATTATGCTCCTGTAAATTACTTCAAAGTGAAAGTAAAAGTAAAAAAAACAAAACAAGAATGAACAAAAAGATGAAAATCAAACATGTTTAAAATCTTTTGCCAATGCTTGTCACTGTATCAATATTTCCGATATAAACTACACATATTATATGAAATCAAACAGTTTGTGTCAGACAACCTTAGTGACTGCCAGATGTCACATTGCTTTTTATTTGTGATCAGTCAGGTAGAAAACGACAGAGCACAGGCTCCAGAGAAAAGCTGTACTAAGGAAGTATTTCATGGAGTGCACCTGAAATGTTATTGGTTGGATGCATTAAGTACAGCTAAGGGGTAGTTTGTCTCCTGAGTGCAGAGGACATGGCAGCCCACCAGAGCACTCGCCTCGAGTGGTTTTGACTCAAACTGGTTTGGTCTGGTCTGGCAGGGGGGGATTAAGACAGAAAGTGATTCTAATCAGAGGGGTCGAATCAGGAGCTTGTTCAGATGATGGCGGGAGAGCGTCTAACTAAAGCTGCTATTACTGCTGCCACTCCAAAGATATAGATCCGACTTTACTAACGACAGCTTTCTTTTGTAGGAACCTGTTCTTTTAGAAAACCGAAGAAATTAAGAGACTAAGAAGAGAAAAACAAAGAGATAAGAACAAAGGAAAACACAGATTAATAAAGTGTATATTTTAAACCAGTGTTTTAATCATATATTAACTGGCTGCCTCAAAGCTCTGGGAGACGGCTGTTACAGGTGGGGTCACAATAAGGTCCTTGCAGTAATCCCCAAATATACAGACTTCCACAGGGTCAAAGGTAATAAACATTAAGCCCTGCCAATCGAAAATATTACGTTTCAAAGGAAAGTAAACAAGACTGCAAAGGCAAGAACAACAGCCAAGTATTTTTCCTCTACGCTGCACCAAACCTTTGACTGAGGCGTTCAAGTCAGTCTTAGAAGAAAGCCTCTCTTTCCAGAAGTGTGGCAGTCAGGACATGTTTACTAAAAACATCTCGCCAGCTGGACCTCACTGTAAGATGGAAGGATGACCTCTCAGTTTCTCATGTTATAAAGAAAGCACCAAAATCTACTTGAATAGGCCATCGTCAATGGATGGCATAAAGCCTCATTTGTTATCAGAGTTGACTGCTGTGGATTCAGTTCAATTCACTTCAGTTTTATTTATATTGCCCCAAATCACAGTGGCACAGTAACACAGTGGTCAGCACTGTTGCCTCACAGCAAGAAGGTCCTGAATTCAGTTCCACCATCAGGCTGGGGTCTTTCTGTGTGGATTTTGCATGTTCTCCCTGTGTTTGTGTGGGTTCTTTCCAGGTACTATGGCTTCCTCCCACATTCTAAAGACATGCAGTTAGTGGGGATAGGTTAATAGGTAAGTCTAAATTGTCCATAGGTGTGAATATGAGTGTGGATGGTTGTCTGTCCCTATGTGTTAGACTGGCAACCTGTCCAGCCTCTTGCCCTAAGACAGCTGGGACAGTCTCCAGCACACCCACCATCCTGACAAGTTGTGACAAGCCTGATAAGCGGATATGAATGGATGGATAGCCCCAAATCAAAACAACTGTTGCCTCAAGCCACTTTATATCGTAAGATAAACACCCTATAATAATACAGAGAAAACACCAACAAGAAGATGAGCCCCTATGAGCAAGAACTTGGCAACAGTGGGAAGGAAAAACTCTGTTTTGACAGGAAAAAGCTTCTGGCAGAACCAGACTCAGGGAGGGGCGGCTATCTGTCGCGAGTGGTTGGGGTGAGAGGAAGAAGACAGGCCAAAAGACAGGACAGAACTAATGATTAACTGGGCGTAATGAGTGAAAAAATGTGACTGAAGCAGAAACACTCCATGCATCATAGGAGGCCCCCAGCATGTTATGCCTATTGCAGCATTACTAAGGGAAGATTTGGAATCACGTGATCCAGACCTAACTATATGCTTTGTCAAAAAGAAACGTTTTAAACCTAATCTTGCAAGTAGAGAGGGTTTCTGTGTCAATGCCATTTCTTTGAGAAGATGAGCTTAGACTTTGAAATAATCAGGGTGACTTTGGAATTTAGATTATCCTGAACTTTTTGAATTTTCAAGAAGAAAAAAATTACATTTTCACCAATAAGAATAGTGTGTTTGATTGCAGTCTACTTACAGTTGGGCTGAAGCCACATTTATGAATATTTACTTAGCATATATTTGTTTTGTATTTAGTGACTGTTTCTATTTAGTGTATATTTTGTATAACTTGTACAGCACTTTGGTCAAGAGAGGTTGTTTAAAACATGCTGTATATATAACTTTTGACTTTCATGGAAACAATGGTTGTCACTTTCTGGTTGTACAACAATGTTCAACATGTTCATTAAGATTTAGTTCATTCAATTTTCATTTTTAGTTATTTTTTTATTGCTTTGACCACTCAGCTGCCCCAGCTAAAAATGTGTGGGTGTATGTGTCACCAAACACAATGTGTGTTAAACCAATATATCACCCTGTTCATGAACATGGTTTCTGCCTGAGGTATGACAGATTTTAATTGGCAATATTCTCACACTACTTGAAAACATCATTAAATTATCTATTTTATTATTTTGATTGAGAGGACCCCAGCAGAAGAAATTGGATACTGTGAAGAAATTGCATACTGCACATTTAATGTTTATCAATCATTCCAGTTTCAAAACATGGCTTCTGTGGTGTGTAAATGTTCTACTTTGGTTCAGTTTTCTATCATTGTGAGTCACTGAGCTTTCATTTGGTTTTATTGGACAAAGTAAATAATTTGAGAAAGACACCTCTAACATTTTTATGATTTCTATGATATTCTTGAGACCAAATGACGCCTCAATGTTTGACTTGTTGTATGATAAGTCTTTGTTTAGATTTTCTGTACTGTAGAAAAGACTTGGGATCTCTTATGAGGCATGAAGTTATAACCTTCTGTCAGCCAATATATTTACAAGGACTAAAAACTCACTGAATTATTTTCTCAGAAAAATGCTCAGACTCACAATACATGCTAACACCAAACTCCAGAGCTGGAAGTGAAATCCAGTGGTCTTTAGTAAGAGTGGTGCAACATACTGAGACCCCATGACAATAATTTGCTCCATCTCACTAGACAGATCACCTTAATGTGCTAGTTTAAAGCAAATTGTTCTGGCAAAATGCAACCTGGTGTTTGTTTGTATTTTGTTTCCCATGAAGAATGGCACATAAAGTTTTTTTTTACTGCATTCTATGACCTGGTCACCATTTCTTCTGCTTTCTATTTTAGATTAAAATTAGCTTTATTAAAAAAAATAATCTTGAAGCAATGCAACCGTTTCACTGCAAAATATTAAATTAGTGATTAAGAGCTTAGAGATTTTTTCTGCAATAAGTTCAACTAATAAAGAAAGAGAAATAAAATATAAATTGCAAATATAGAAATGATCTAGTCAATTACTCAATTTTCACTGTCTCATGTTCAAAATAGTTAAAATGTGCCAAGACTGTGCCAAGAATGTGTTGATATGTGGACAGTTCCATTGCAACAAATGGCCAAAGAGATCATGTCAGCAGGGTTCTGCCATCTGCAGCCACACTCATTCGTTATTTAATTACTTTTTCTTTCAATAATGATCCACTGAAGAGAGCAAATAGCAAAAGTATGTGAACACAACTAGCTATTAAAGCTACACCCACTTCAGAGTAAAATGCAATTATGAGATTATTGTATTTAATTATGAAGTGGACTTTCACACACTTAGAATATAATTTCACTAATTTATAGACTACCTTGTCACTCTCCCCAACACAGACTTTCACTAAAAAACATAAGAGCACCGTGACGTAAAACTGAGTTTTAAGGCCAAGGATGTCATTATATATGAAATATCCTTCTCTATTTACCAGGGAAGCAACATGCATCTGTGGGGTTCAATTCCTCCTAGCAATCTCATCACTAAACATGAGGATGACACCAGAAAAGAAAAAAAAATTGAACGAACGGCCACTGCTCTATAACCTCAGCCAATCTACGAAACCCAGCCTGCTCTCTACCATGCAATTACACACAACCTGTTGAGTGTTGTCCCGGGAATGCGGTCAGCAAGTCACTGGAGAATTAATGAAATGCCAAGATGGAGGGAGAGAAATTGCCTGTATAACCTATCCTCAAGGTGCCCTTGTGGTATTTCCAAGACTAAGTCACACTAGAAGAGAGTACAGCAGGCCTGGTCATACAATGAAAGATAAAGTTGTGCGGCCTTCAACTCATAATCTACTTTTTTTCTGTACATTTGTGGAAATGAGAACAATCATTGAGTCCCTTCCTCACTGCAGAAGACACTACCACATTCTCCAAAGGTCAAAGACATGAGGCGGTTTAATTGCATGGCTCACTGTCAACCATTTTATTAAAACAAGTCATTATAGCCTGAAAAGGTTCATTTTGTTAACCTTCTCTCCACTGTTTGAAGTCAACGTACTTTTTGTGTGTGTGTGTGCAGATTTTGCTACCATTCTGCTGTGGTCAGTTAACAGCAAATAGTTTTGAGGCAAAGGTGGAAATTCTGTCACAGGCTTAATGTTAACTGCATCTTACCTGATAGGGCTCCCAGTAGCATCCGGGTCCCTGGCAGTGACTGTGCCTATGATCTTGTTGATGGGCGCGTTCTCGTCCACTTCTAATAAGTACATAGGTTTGGAGAAAACAGGAGGCTCATCTGAGTCTTCAACCACAATTTTCACTGTAGCTGTGTCCTTAAAGGGCCCATTACTCCTGGGTTCTGAGCGGATGTTGGTAGCTTCAACTTTGAGTGTGTAGTTTCTCTTGCTCTCATAGTCTAAAGGCTGTAATGAGAAGATGAAAGAGAAGTTTTATTTTAATTAACTAACCCTGCACCAAAATGTAATGTACAGTCCAGGGGTAAAAAGTAGAGTGGAGTGCAAGTGTTTAAGGATTGTATATCCTCGGCATTGATAACTTTAATACTGATTGTCATTCAACGCAAAACTGAACACCCTTGACATATGATGAAGACATGTGGTGTTATATTATGTATTCAGATAATGTTTTAAGCTTTTGAAAAAAATTTTTAATTGCAGCTGGTGTTTGAAAGGTATGGATGTTCACTATGCAGTAAGGGTCCAATGAAAGACAATGGTGGGTTTTATTAGGTGACATGTAAGAGCCTGTGTTTTTGGAGCTGGAGTATAGGGAACCTACATTTACCCTTTTAATCTAATTAACTATATACAATCCAATTAATATTACCTCGAACTCTGCCAGGTTATAAAAACATAAAAAGAGTCTAAAAGTGTTTACTACAACTTTTTATGTTTGATAATTAGGTATATTTCTCTAATGGGGTGATGGTGGCTCAAAGAGTTGGCAGTTCGTCATGTAACCGGAAGGTTGCCGGTTCCTTGGGCAAGACGCTTCACCTACCGCCTACTGGTGATGGCCAGAGGGACCGATAGCGCGATATGGCAGCCTCGCTCTGTCAGTCTGTCCCAGGACAGCTGTGGCTACAACATTATTATTAATGTTCCTAAATGTAAAATTTTAAATAATTAAATAATTTTATAATAATACATTATTTTAAAAAATCTGTTAAAATTAATAATATTATTATAATTAATAATAATGTATTTGGTGTAAGGTACCAATCAATCAATCAAAAATCTAATAATGTTATCATTAAATTGTTAAAATGTAAATAACATGGCTCGCACATATCTCATCAATCACACACAATATCAAAAAACAAAAAACTATTTATCTAGCATTAAAGTGGCGAGAACCAATATATTTCTTTTTTACGTGTCCCCAAACCCCTGGCAGCATCGGTGCCGAGACCAGCAAATCACGCTCAAAGTCTCAGCGTGTAAAAACTTACCGTACTCTAAACGACACTTGCTTTAACCGGCTCTAAGCATATTCATATTGCACACAGACATTATTTTTGATGAGATTGTGACTGCCTATGATAATGTCTAAGCTATTTGTATATTCTAGCAAGCCATTTTATTTGGCCAGAATTAATTTCAACATCACAACACATCAATTAGTCACTGTGCAATTTTCAGAGTTATATAACCTGAAAATATTTTTCAACCATTATCAACATGAAAGAACAGAAATCTCATTGCTAAAGCTTCCAGTTAGAGTAGATTATTGGCACTTTCATACTGCTATCACAACCAGCTCACAGAACGTAAATGAGACAGGTGTTTATAGAAGACTACCAATGAAAGGAGTAATTTTACAAAGGGAAATAAAAACACTTTGTACAGGAACATCTCATTGTGTGACTCGAATATCTATTTAATCTTTTTTTTTTCTCAATTGATGGCCCATCATTAATATTTCAAAGAAAGAGGATAGTAACAATTTTACTCTCTTGGCATCTCTGAGGGCACCCCAGACTGTCACAATTTCATTCTGAATCACCTCTGGTCGCTCTCATACTACTAGAATAATGGGATCAAGTCACTTCCACGCTCCATAACCAGGATTTATAGGGAAATCAAAACTGGGCCTTGCCGCTTGAGGGGACAAGAGCTGGCTTGGGGGAGAGAGAAGGACTTGGAAGAGAGAGATGAACAAAACGAGAAATGTATTCAGTTAGAGAAGGTAGGAGTGCAAAAGAGGAATTGCCCCTGAGCTCCTAGAGGGCCAGTGCTGAGAGATCAGGGGCCAGAATGTGCAGGTGGGTGGAGGAGTGTCTTGGGGCCCAGCTTTGAGACACCAGCAAGAGCCGGAGGGACGCTGGAAGTGACCTGAGGCTCTGACTTCCACACTTCTACATTTCTGTCATCAGGCCACTAGTAGACCAAAGGCTCTGAGGCCTCTCCACGGTCGGAGGAGCTCTTTGGAACACTCATTATTAACCTCCTCTTCTTTTCCTCCTCACCCTCCTCCTCACTTGACACCCACCCTCTTCTGCCATCCCTTCTTTTTCTCTCTCACTGATCCTGCCTTCTGTGCTGAGAAAGTACAGAGTGTGGCTGGATCTTGAGCCAATGGATTACGCTTTAATTCAGAGGTAGTGGAGAGTAAGAGCTTGTATAATGTTTGGCTGGACACTTGAAACGATTCTATGGAAATGGAGAAATGGGGAAGACCTAAATTTTAATATGAATTATTTTTGGAATGGCATTTCATCTGTATATCATTATCATCTCAGCAAACATTTTGGCCCATTAAAGCTGTGGTTTCATTTTGCTTTTTTAAATTTAACACAGATATATGTAATTAAATTATGTTTCAGCAAATGGCTATTCTATGCTTTAGCAGGTGTTTAGTTAATATAATTTTAGAATTTTGTTGAGGTTAAAAAAATGATATGAGTCTAACTTTGAGAAACCAATTCCATATTATAAAGATGGTGATTATTGCAGGCTTAAAAGTACTTTTCTGAGCTGCTTCTTATTTATATAGCACCAGTGGCACTTAATATTACAAGCTTATGATCCAACAAGCTTACAAAGAGATCCCAAAAAAACTCTCTATGAGCAAGGACTTAGTGATAGTGGGAAGGAAAAACTCCCTTTTAAAAAGACGAAATGTCCAGCAGAAACAGGCACAAGGAGAGGCAGTTATCTGCCACATTATTGTAAACAATTGGGGGTGAGGGGAAAGAGGAGGTGGCAGAGAGAGAGACAGGACAAGAGGCAAATTTAGGAGAGAGAGTTTAGCAATTGCTAATGTTTAAAAAAAAGAAAAAGAAAGAAAAAATGTGTGAAAAGGAAACATCCAGCGCATTCTGGGACATAAGCATAATTAGCATAACTAAGGGAGAGTTCAGGGTTACCAGTTTTCAGCCTAATCTTAATAATACAGAGGGTGTCTGCCTCCTGAATCCAAACTGGAAGCTGGTTCCACAGTATAAGGGCCTGACAGTTTATGTGTCTGCCTCTCATTCTACTTTTAATTTTGCTAGGAAACGAAAAATAAGGCTGCAGTCTGAGATTAAAGTGAACTTGGTATAAGTACAGCAATTTTCTTTCTTTACAATATAGTTACTCACTACTACTCACATGGGTTTGCTTTTCTCTTGTTAACATATTTCAGTATAACTCCCATGTGATATTATGTAGAAAGAACTCATTACATTTGTTTCCAGTGTCCTAACAGCAAAGGGGAAGAGAGAGGCTTTGAGGCATATTTAATTATACCAAATCCACTTTAAGGAAAACATAGTTGTAAACAGCTTCTTTAATTACCCTTGTTACTAAGTAATTTTAATTATTTTTTGATACAAATTGCAAAATCAAATAAAGCATCTATTCAAACTTCTATTTTAAAACTATTTAATAGCATGAAAACAGAATACAAGTCATATTATGACCAGTTCAAATTATTAATTCAATAAACAAACAGAGTGCTTTCACTGAATAGTCCAGGGAGAGCCACTTTGATTTTTATTAGCATGCATGGCGGCACTGTTATGGAGCTAGTGTTGAGAGATTCATGAGTGCAAAATCAAATGAGTAGAACTACGAGACATTACGCAGCAAACTTTGCATAGTCATGCTATATTCTCCAATGTTCCCACCAAACAACATAGCTTAATTGAACATCTGCAAGTATTTAAAACAGATGAAGAAAAGGCACAAACAGCAAAAGAAGAACCGTTCCTGTTTTTTCAGTGTTAACACTATCTTTGCTGTCGTGTCCCACCCCACCGTGTCATTCTTCTTTCTCACTCAAGCGTTAGCATCAAATCAGTATGTACACACAGGCCATTTAGAGACTTCAAAGTTCAGCACTGGCTGCAGGGGTGAAAGCTCAGCATCCCACTAACATCTCTCGACAGGCCTGGGGGCTAGTAGATAAAAAGCTTAAAACTCAAACAGAAAAGAATCTCTCCCCTGGTTTGTGCCTCTCCAGCCTCAGATCAATATGATTTAACCTTGCCGCAAAGTATCTTTAATAATTTTAATTCTGCATTAGATGGGAGTTCATAGACGTGTTCCCTTGTTGACAGAGACTAGGCGTGTTTGGGAAAAAACGTTATGTTAAAGGTTTAATCTGTCACACTGGATGGTGGATAAGTGGTGAAGGTACAGAATAGAAGAAGAAAAGTGAAACAACTGCTTCGTAAATTCCTTTCAACTTGAGACACTGTCATCTGGAGGGATGAGAAAACAGTGAGTGTGCAAATGTCTTGCTACTTTCCCAGTGCATTATCATCTATCTTGCTTCAGTTATGTAGGCAGCAAACTCAGGGCCACAGAGAGAAAACTGAGTAGACATGGGATGACTGAGTGTCTCTGTGGGACATGGAAGTGGAGGTTGCCTAAAAGACTAACACATTTGACATTTGCTTTGTCAACAGTTAGAGATTTTATGACTTTGTGTCAAGTTTGTTCTGCAGCGCTGATGTTTTCTTTAGTGGCAATGAATTGTAGTCCCAGCAGATTGCCTTAGCTCTTATACATTCCACCCCCACACAGTTCATTGTTCACACTTTGACAAAGTCACACCACATGTCCTTGGGGTAATGTCATTTTACATCACAATGCAAAAGCATTGTGCATTTGAATGATACGTAGTCCTCAGCAGACACTGAACCAACCATGACTTAAGACTTAAAAACCTCCTCCATCAATCATGTGTATGATTCAGTCTATGTAAATATCTTCTACCAAGCTGAGCTTCTGTGGACTTTGAATATATAGAATACATACATATATAATAGATTTATAAATAGCATGTGCAGTGGTATGTTTGATATTGTTGAAATCTCAGTTTGATTTTCTACAGATGTCCTTGTGATACAGGTGCATCCAGATTTTCCTGCAGGTTATTAAAATGCATTGTACTTTTCAAATTTGAATTTATTATACTTTGGTATTAAGCACGGTATGGGAGGGGGTGCTCTAAGTGTTTACTGGCAAGTGATGACATCTAAACTTCTCAAGCTCTGAACCTGGAGGAAATATTGATATTCCGTGGCTAAAAATGTATAATAATGTATAATAATGTATGAAAATTGCTGGGATTCTTGGATACTTGTTCTACTAGCAGCACGGGATGAGTCTTATATGCTGTACTGTTGGCCTGATGTACTGCCTCGAGGTGAAAGGTTACATTTTGTGACAGAAATAATATTCTTTGATTTTTCTCAAAACCATACATCTGAAAACATCTTGATGAACAATGAGCATTGCCTTTTCTTCTCTAAAATATTGCAACTGTACCTTTGAACAAGGCGATTAACAAGCAACTGTTTTACTAAAGTTACTTTAGGGCCAAACTTTCGCACTGCAGTTTTGTGTTCAGTCCATCTGCTCTTATGGTGATGATGCCAGCAAAACTGAATTTGAGCAAACTTTGAATGTGGGGAGAACAAATTTACAATATGTACCAGTTTACCTTGAGCTAAGAGAAATACAACTGAATGGACTGTAATGCAAAATAAAAGTGTCTTCTCTCAACTCTTAGTCCAACGTATTCCCCAACTTAATGTCAATTCACACACAGTCTGCATTACTTCTGGCAAAAAGAATATTGTTAAAAATTACCTTTAAACTTATTCCTACTATTTATCTTCTTTCATAGATTTTTCTGAATAAAAGAAAAGTAGGTTTTAGAAATGTATTAAAAAAAATGCTCCTTTAGCCTCCAAGCTACTCAGGGGGAAGGCTTTCAGTGTTTAATATTTCATGGTGTACTGTTGAGTACTGCCTTCTCTAAAAGCATATGAAAAAAAATCGCTAGAAGAAGTACAGAAGAACGAGACCTACTGAGAAGGGGATTTAAACATCAATCTTTATACTGTATTGACTTATATGTATGGGAAGTAAAATAACTGATTTACTTAAATTGATTATAGAAACAGAAAAGAAAGAGACAGAAAAAAAGCCAATCAGCTCTTATCCTGACATCATCTAGGTCTTACTTTTCTGAGCTGTAGAATCCCTTCCTGTGTCGTTGCGTTCGTAATAATCTCAAACACGCCTTGGTCGTCTCCTTCGATGATGCTGTACGTCGACTTGGCATTCTCACCGATGTCGCGGTCATTTGCTTTCACCTTGCCACCCTCTTTCCCTAATGGTAGGTCTTCAGGGATCACAAACTCATACAAACCTGAGGATGAACAGACACAGCTTTTTGGTTTCTAGAAACGTTGATCAAATTAAGCACAATTACCGAAGCATATTACACTACTGCATCATCATTAGACATTTCACAGTTAGAGGAATTAGTTTCTGAGGAGCATGTATGATGACATTTACAAAATAACATTTATTTTTCCTAATTATTACCAATCAGAGAAATGCTCATTTAGAGCAGCAGTAATTTCTTTTCCCTCTTTATTCAATTTGGGATGGGTAAGGTTATGAAGTTACTTACTTTTAGAGAACTTTGGTGGATTGTCATTGATGTCTTGTAGTGTGATGCTGACAGTAGTAGTTCCAGACAAACCACCCATGTGACCTCCCATGTCTTTAGCTTGAATGACCACCTGATAATCCTCTCTCATCTCACGATCCATCCCATGCAGAGCAATTCTTATGGTTGCTGGAGGTGGAAACAGTTCATAACACATTCACCCAATTATAAATTTGACTGATATACTCTGCACATAATTGTAATGATGCTCATGTGAGTAAACGTAAGGAAGCGCAAGGAAAAAAAGGCATGCAGTCACCTTCATGCTCACATTATTCCCCAGTTTATAACATGCATTATTTTAGACCATGACCTTACCAAACATGAACCCCATACCCAGCAGGGTTAAAGATTTCCCTGCAGGCTTAGTCTCAGAAAAGCACAGTCTGAGTGAATGTAGTAAGGTGCCCACGACTGAGCCAGTCGCAGCACTGAGAATCAGCTGAGTTTGTTTTTGAATGTGTTGTTCCACCGTCTGAAGTCATTTGTATTCTGATTGAGTGTGAATTATGCTGTCTGTCTTGTATAATCTTGAATATTGTATGCAGAATGGACCTTATTGACTCTGCCGCAGCACTGAATATAAAAAGGGCTCAGCACCGGCATATACGGATAATCCACTCAGGAAACAGAGGCCCGCAGGATCATCAAATGAATATAAAACCCCTCATAAAAGCCAGGCTTTGGCATGACACCCTGCCTTGGTCCTGAGCTGCCTCAGACAATGATAATATGCTTGGCTATGATGGGAAACATGGGAGGGGTTAGAATGTTGTCTGTGTCTGCATTTTATTCTACAGATAGATTTTTCCTCAGAGAAATTTCAGGGTCAGTTGTGCTTTTGGAGGTCACACACGACACAGACGATTTAAACAAAAAGAGAAAATGAAGGACAATAGTTGGACACCTCTTCAGTAAGACTGTACTGAAAAAAAAACAATGCCCTTGTTGTTCGAGTAATTTATTAAAGGAAGTCTTTTTCAAATATGTTATTATTATTTTCAGAAATAATAAAAAAACAGAAATGTTTATGGATAATTGTTAGTTAAGTATGTACAATGTTCATTTGGAGTAACTCTGACCTCACTCTTAGGTCAGGTTTTTTGATTTGGAGATCAAGGAGCTGAGACTCTACAGAGAGCTTCGAATTACAGACCTTCTGGAAAATCCATAGAAGAAGAATGATCTTCCATTACAATGGATGGCAAGCCACAGCCCATATGGAACTGAATCTTGCAGTCTGGTTGCCTGAATTGTGGTAGGACAAACTGTGCAAATCATACATCGATCATCGGATTGAGCTCACACCAATAAACTGCCCAGATCACCTAACAGGCCTGAACTGGATCACACTGACAATTTAAAAGATCCGGGTCTAACTTTCTTTTCTTTATTTGTTGGGGGTCTCTGTGTCCGCACACTATTTTGGTTATTGTTGTTAGTTGTAATACAGTGCACAAAAATTTCTAATACAACTTAAGCATTGCTTCATCGTTTATATGGTTGTGTTTTCATTGTGGCGTCCTCTTGGCTCCTGACATTCCTGAAGTCTTCTGATTTGGCCATCGTCTATTATTTTTGTTACACACTGGTTACAAACATGCTATGTATAAAATTATTGAGGAAGTATCTTGGGTAAAACCAAACTTCTACATGTTTGTACATTTAGTGAACCGCATGTATTGTCACGTCAACAAAATAAGCTTGAAAACATTCGAGAATCTTTTTTTTTCTTTTTTTTTAAATCAGTGAAGTAGAATGATATGAATAGAGCTATAGATGATTACACCAAGGACACACTTGTGATATTATTTGAAAGAATAATTACAGAAAATCTATTTGAAATTGTTTTTAAAAAAGTAACACAACAACACAGCTCTTGTGTTACATGTATATACTCTCTCTTACATGGGACACCCTTAGATGGCCTCAAAGATGAAGTGTGTAAAACCAGCATTTCATCAGCATCACCAAGTCATTGCAGTTTTAATGAATAGGCAGATATTATATAGAGAAATAGGATTTTAAATTACTTCTCTCTAATTTTAGCTCTGAGCTCTGATGTGCAATAACAAGGTAGACCTACCATCCGAAATGCAAACAAACAAATCAATAAGGAAAAAGAGCTACACAAACAAGTTACTTTTCCTCCTCCACACACACACACACACACACACACACTCTTCCGTCATCCTGCTACAAGCAACACCGTCATCTCTGTTGATCATCGTTAATTATTCAAATTAATTCCTAATCACTGAAAAGGGAAGATAGACAAACACTCATTTCCATAGATATTTGTTTCAACTTTTTTTTTTTCATCGACCATTAACCAAGTGATGAATTGGGGCATGATGTTTATTTATTTATTGAATGCTTTTCATTTCCAGTGTGGTGTTGTAAGTGTCAAATGCATTCTAATGGTTGTTTTCCCCTTACCTTTTATTTTTCATTAACATTCATTAAAACATCTGGCTCACTTGAATGAGCCATCTGCATGTGCACAGCGATCACACAAAGCATGAATGTTAATCCTTAAACTGTCCATTCAGCCCCTTCTCGACAGCCCAAGGTCCAGCTGTAGAGGCTTCGAGATTACGACACCTATACCAGTGAGGACAAGCCCGGTTTTTATGTGTTGAAATTATGAAAGTTCATTCTAATTATGTACATAAATTTTGAGTCCTCCTTTCTTGAAGCTTGTTTATTGTGTGTTGTTTTCCAAATTGTGAGCCGTCAATTTCCATCTCATTTCTTATTAATGTAATTTCACCATTATTTAATCATATTGCTTACAGACACATGTTAAAAAGTCAGCTGAAAAAGCAATTAAAGATCCAATCTAGAATATGTTTTGAGATAACTTTATGCACCATGACGCTGCTGAAGAGTCTGCCTTGTGAAAGGAAGAAGTAATTATTATCATTGCCATTATTTGGAATTCATAACCCAGTGATGTTATGGACCACAGCATCATAGGAGTGCTGCCCCATTAGGACTTAGGACTTGAAGTCAGCTGAGCAAAACATGCAACTCACTGATGCAAAGCTCTCATATAAATCTCATTTGGGTTTCAATAATGAATTCCACGCAACTCGTGGGGAACTGTACAGTACCGTTCACTGTTCAAATGTGTTGACGTTACTTATCCAAGTTACACTTCATTGCTTGATTTATCCACTGAAAAAAGTTGGAATTGTATCTTTAGCCACATACATTCCCACTGTGGCCAAAGCACTTGCTGATAGCGGGTCATATGATTGTTGGAGTTTTCTCTGTTTTCTTTATAATATTGTAGGATCTGTACCTTCCAACATTAAGCACCTTGAGGGAAATGTTGTTGTGATTTGGTGCTGTATAAATGAAATGAAATTGAATTGAATTGAAAATTCATGCAAATTCTATCCTTCCTTTTATAAAAGGTTATGAATGTATAAGGTCCATTTAGTATTGTTCAGTGCCATCCCGAGTGACTGAGTACAAAAGCCATGGTTAGTTAATTTATTATAAAGATCCCCCTTAATTAATACTGCCAATATACAATATTTCATTTTTATTTCATGAAAATATTTTTGCATACTTAGATAGTCTTTTTGTTAAATCAAAATGATATGTTATGCAATATATTATGAACCAGTGTGTGTGGACTATATTTGTGTTTCATTCATTTCTATCAAGTTGCTCCATTACATTCATATATATTGTTTCAATCAAATCTGTACACCCCTTGGAACAGTTACAATGCTCCCAGGAAAAAAACTTGTTTGCCACTGCGTATGGTATAAATATTGAAACATAAATGTACATGAATGAACAGCTGTAGAGGGGAATTGTAGCAAAAGGGAGTGAGCCAGGAAGCCACATTTAACAGCACCCCCATGCAGCAATAACCTACAAGCATAAAAAAACAGATGGTCTGAGTTACCTGCAGAACTGATGTTTTTACACAACTTTTCAAACTATTACATTGTCAGGCTGCCTTTTTACAGACATGTAATTTTGTCCCTTACAGTTTTGCTGAATAGAGTTGAAGTTGCATGATAATGCAGACATACAGCATTTGTTATAATAGTTAAGTGTCAGACTATATCCTCTTTTAGTCCTTACAGAAGGTGTTTGCACTTTATGCATAAATGCAATGCAACAGACTGCTATCACCTCAGGTGGGCAAGCAGGTGGGGAAGCTGTTGCATCTCCACCTGTTGGAATTAGTTCAACCTGTAGCACCTGCTAGCAGTGCACATGTTAAAAGCAGGATATCACTCTCAGCTCCTCTGTTAGTATTTATTTTGTATTTGAATCCCAAGTATTGGCAGCACATAGATATGAGGTACCAGAAAGTCGACTACATTAGAAATGAGCGGTTCCAAACTAAACTAAACTTCCATTAAAATATATTTTAGAGTGGATAAGTATACAGCCTAAATAACACAATAAAGGGGAGCTTCCTCACAGTATTTCATATCATGAATGGACCTTACTGCAAAAAACTCCACTTCAAGTCAGCCACCGGTTTGCAGTGGGTTCAGGATCAACTCATAGTATGCATCAGTGTTTTATTATAGTGATTTTAAATGGGAAAACAATTAAGCCTTGTGACTATAAAGGGCTTAAAAAATCCAGTCAAGTATTAATGCAATTTGTGCTGCGTAACCCTAAAACCTCTAAAATATTATCAGCTATTTAGTGAGATAACTTTCAAAATGTTTCAGTTACTGTTTAAACTTTCAATCTTTTTGATAGCTGATCAGATACAGAGTTGGGTCCATAAAGCTTAAAGCAGTCCCTATAGTTCAGGTGTGTCCTTAAAATACTTAGATTTATGCATAAGCTTGACCTTGGTAAAGTTATTCCTGTCATTTGGACATACTTAACCAGAGACTTGTCCACATAGTGATATACCACAACTTGACCTGAGATGACATTGTAAGCTCATTTATCTAGCTCAAAGCAGGTAATGAAAAAGGACAGTGTTTAAATACTAAAAGGTTCTGGCCTGATGTGCATGGCCCTGTCTAGAAGAAAAAGACTTATGAAATAATCCTCAGATGGAATCACCATCTCTCTGTAAAACCTATTTCTTTCCTTTTTGTCCCGTTATGAACGCCGTGTTCATTCATTGCATTTTGTAATACATTATGCTCTCCATTGGTTAGAAGCAGACAAAGGACTTGCACATTGTATTAGCTCCCATTAAATTTAATGAAGCAACGTTTTGATCTCACAGAAATCTTCGTCAGGCTTTGTCAAGCAAACAATGAATAACAGCACAAAGGGCTTTGCCTGCTCCATAAAGGTGCCCTCCATTTTTTTCTCCTTATTTAAAATCACTCTGATTACACAAGACCTATAAACTATTGCATGTTTCCTTTTTTTTCTTTTGTTTTTTACTTAATATGCAAGTAAATGTCATCCTGCACAGATGGCTCCTAAAAACAAAGGAAATGTAATTAAAATAAAATAAATTCCCTAGTTTGCATGTGCAAATATTTTAAATGCATGAATTTTTTAACCCACATGATTGTTAACTCACACAAGACTTGGAATCTGAGGTTTAATCAGCTTTTCCTTCATGAACGCAATGGAGTATTTGAACAAACTAATACTTTAGCTTAAGCCTAAAATTCAGCAATTATCAAGAAATTAGACTTACCTGAGTTGGGGTCAACAGAGAAATATGGTTGTCCCTCCAGTATGCTGTAGACTAGCTTAGCGCTGTTTCCGTACACCGGATCATCGGCATCTGTAGCTGTTACTGTGATAACTGAGGTACCTGTGGTGCAGAAAGACAAATGTATAAACATCCCTACAGGAAATGATCTCCATGTCTCTGTAAACTAAAATTCTAAGTGCTGAGTGAATCCAGATGAGACTCTAGTCCCATTTATCCCATCTTGTTCCACGTAAGGCCCCAATCACACAGGCCTAGAAACCAGCCTAGTGAATGCAAGTGGTTGCCAGTGGTTGCTTTAAAATCAGTTGCTAAAGGCCCATTCGTGGAGGCCTGGAGAACAATCCTAGTAACCACCTTTTGCAAGATATAAGTGTGTATTCTGTAACCATTAGCCTAGTTGAGCCTAGTTGAGGTTGCTTGTTGTCATAAAATTGGTCATTGTAGCTGGTTTCTGAAGTGGTCATTTACATGGAAAATTTACATGAAAAACACTGACTAGTCTGCAGACACTACTGGCCAAGTATTGAAAACTGCAAACAAACTGGAAATAACATTTGTTCTGTCTTACTACTGCGACCAATACATTTTAAAGTGTGAAATTTCTGCTTTGGAAGCAAACATTCTCTTGCCGGATTGGATGAGTGTGTGCAGACATGTCAGTGTATTCCATTCAAACTATGGGTAACCGTAGCAATCTGTTAGCAGTAAAAGCAATAACAAGGAAGTGTTTGGTGCAGCACCCAATTTGTGGGCGATTTCACATGGCAACAACCAGGAACCTCCAGTAACTACTTGCCGAACAGAAACATTTTTCTGTTTTGACCAGAGGTTGCCAGTGGGCAGTGTTGGGAAGGTTACTTTTAAAATGTAGTCCACTACAGAATACAGAATACATGCCCCAAAATGTATTTTGTAACGTATTCCGTTACGTTACTCAATGATAGTAACGTATTCTGAATACTTTGGATTACTTAATACATTATCATGCTTTTTACAACTACATGAATGTACTATTGCTGTGTGATTTATTATTTTTACTGAAGGTTATTCACCATATCAATACCAACTAGATTTTTAAATCTTAATATAAAATGAGTAACAGTAGGGTGGACATTAGGTAAGGCTGCACTTTTTGCAGTGATCTCATATAGAAAACTATTCCGCGTGTATATAAAACAGGTCCGCGGCTCCGAACCGTAGTAAGATTGAGACACAGACATTAGAGGCTTTTAATGCGTGTTTTGTTAGGGTTTCCACATGCGTGGAAACCAAAAATAAAGAGGGCATAGCCTTATGAAACAGGAAAATACCGCCATGTAATCCATTCATTTCAACAAAGTAACTGTACTCTCAATACCACCTTTTTAAACAGTAACTGTAACGGAATACAGTTACTCATATTTTGTATTTTAAATATCTAACGGTGGTACATGTATTCCATTACTCCCCAACACTGTCAGTGGGTTACTTATGTGACTTTGTGATGGAGACCTAAGTAGTTAAACGTTGCATTGGTCATGTGTTGATGCATATCTTTAATTTATAGTTCAGGAGTGTCTATGGACTTGTGGTAAATATGGCATAAAAAATGAATCTGAAGATTTTATAATGAAAGTTTCAGTTAAGTGTGCAAAGAAGTTATTTAATTGTTAATTAATTGTCCTTTCTGTGGCATCTAGTGTGTCAGTGACATATATTTGTGTGTTAGATATTAATATAGCAGGCAAAGCAATTGCAGACATGTATGGGCAAATTAGACTACTTTTTTCAAGGCTTTTGATCTTTCAGAACAGCAGACAGCATAAGTATTACTCTGTTGATGGTTATTTGATATTTGGATGTAACCACAAAGAAAACACTTCTCCTTCTATTAAAGTAGCATGTTTATTACGTTTAGTTTGTCAAATAAAAGTTTTTAAGTTTAAAATTAAAGGCTGTGTTGGTGTAAGTGTTGGCTCATGTATTTTTAAATTCTTATGGGATATCAAGCATTCTTTATCAATTACAGCAATTAAGAATTACCTTCACACCATCAGTATTCAAACATAAATAAACTTCTTTTTTACACCAGCTTTATAAGGTCTTTATAAGTATCCAAGGACTTTCATCAATATTCCAAGTCAGTCAAATGCTCAAATCAGGAAATACATTAGTGGCAATTCAATCCACCATTCACCTGTCCATCAAAAGGTATCGGGACAAAATGAGCACTGAAAATATTGATATAAAGAGGCAATTCGCGTAATTAAAATCATCCATTTTAATCCAAAGTGACCTAACTCATCACGAGTCTCAGGGTGTGGGAGAGCATTTGAGAAGAAAAAAGAGAAAAGAACCCGACGTGCTGACAGTGAGCAACATGCTGGCAGAAAGCTACAGATGGTATGGTAATTGTTTCTGTGAAAGATGTTTAGAGGTGTTCTGACAACAAAGTGAGATGTCCCCAGTCACAGACGGCGGAGGTCCTGCCACAGGCACCTAAATCTGTCCGCTGCAACTGAAAATGCTTGTTGCGCAAAGACCTGTGACAAGTTAAGTGCTCTGGCTCCAGAACTCGGATTCAGATGTTCGGCTATGGATTAAATAACGAAAAATAAATAAAAAAATAAAATAAATTTGCCAGATGTAATATGAGCAGTTGTTCCATAGTTTACAAAGTGTAACCTGCAAATCAGACATCTGTATTCTGTTGGTGTATCATCTTCTGCTATTTCTACAAGCACCGAAACAATTTTCATCAAGCCTGCTCACCAGTGTGCACCACAGTAATGACTTACTACTTCTAACCAATAAGGACTCAAACAATCTGAAAATACATGTTTAATATTCACATCAAATAGCTTCAGTAGTGTTTACCAACTGCAAAATAAAATGGGCTAAAAAATTACAAATAAGATGATTTTCGCATCCATGTGGTGCAGTTTTTGATCTTATCTCCCATTTTATGCCGTCAGCTACACGTGTCACCTGCTGATTAATAGTCACAGCCGTGTCTGCGGTCTTGTAACAGCAAAACAAAGCAAAAGCCCCCTTTGCACTCTAACTGGTGTAGCAGTTTCACTGTTGCAACCCAATTATTTCACAGTGAGAGAACCTCAAGTGGTCCTCTGAGACTGAGGTGTTCCAGTAATTCATAGTCTTATGATGACCCGTGCTGTTGTGTTGCCAAGGCTTACCTTGTAAATTTCCTGAGCTTGTTACACCCCATGCCTTTTGCAGTGTTTAGATCATAGCAGATCAATGAGCTCTTTTTCTCTGTTTCTGCTCACTGCACTAGCACTGACAAAAAAAAAAAAAACAGAAGAAGAAAAGAACCAAAACAAAAAACAACAACACCCAGCGCAACTTGAGTTTCAGCTGCTAATACACTTAAATAGATCCATTGCTTTTATCTGCTGAAACTGTCATTCACATGAACTGTTCTCAGTCTACATTAAATAGAAATTTTTCACATTTCAGTATCTATTAATGCTGCAAACTCTACTCAACAGAAACTGCATGTGCACTGAAGAAAAATCAGTATGAGGGCCTCTATGTGACAGCCCTGCCAGAGCACCTGATGTAAAGTGGAAATTTCCAACAAACGTGCTACATAAGTGAATGAAGTATTACATAAATTGGTTGACAGAATTTAAGGAAACATAATTATTTGAATTATATCTCACAGATGTGTGCATTAATCCAAATTGGAGCGCTCGTACTGCATTTTCAGGAAGCAAATTATATCCTGCGTGCCATAGGTGTTTGCCAATTGTCAAATGAATAAAATGAAAGACAGCAAGGAAATTGCACCTCCCTTTTTCAGAGATACAGAGCCTTATCTGCCTTAAAGTTAAATTACTACTACTGCAGAGGGAGGAGGCAGCCATCTACACATCCCTAATTATGAAAAGTACCTTCGTACTTCTAAAAGGTGTCTGACTATTGCAAACAGGCTTTAGAAATTCAGTTACACTATGGATTGAACTAGGGAAGTAGGGGTAGGAAAAAAATCTTCATAAAAACAGTGGAACCAGTGAGGCATGAAATAGCTCCCTCTTTCTTTCCCTCCCACAGGGGTAAAATGCTCCTCACTACCCCTGATAAAAAAAAATGAGGGATTAGGAAAGCCAGTGTTTTGGTCCTGTTTCAAATCAGTGCAGATTAGCTCGTCCTTCCCCTTGATAATGCAGAGAATTCAGGGACACTGCAGAAATGGATGCAGCTGTAGGCCAGGCAATGGGCACAGAAACTCAATTGTAGGAGGAATATTGTCTCTGGCTTTTATTTGAAGCCTGTAGCATTGTGGCGACTACAATAATAGCAACACAACACCTACAGTATAAATGTCCAGGGATGAAAAATATGAATGGTTGCTAAAAACAAAAAACATGCAGGAACGGATTAAGGATGTAAAAAGCCTACAATGGAATATGAAAACTATTCAGTGGAATGTCTTGCACACATCTTTCTTCCTCAGAAGTGTTGCATATTCTTGGTCAGACCTGTTACATATATGGAAGAAACGTGTAATTGCGCTATTTGGTGTCTAAAGGGATTTGTCTCACCTGTTTCCTACTGCTTAGCACATGCAAAGACTCAGAAAGAGTGCACAGAAGCTTCTCCTGGGAAAGCAAATCTCCCTCTATTGGTTTGGGCAGTGGCCCGCAGGGTAAAGCACATTAAGCCTGTATGAAAATACAGCCTGCGTTTACGGGTGTTTTCCCACATTAAGTGTAATCTCATTAATCATGTTCTGAAGTTCACAGGATTTAATACCACACCAATAATTTAAACACAAACTCATTCTCAAAGGACATCATTACTGTACAGTGTGTGAAAATTTACAGCCGTAGTGTTTTGGTTGAAGGGCATGTGGTGGCTAAAAGGTTCCTCGTGATAAAGACACAGGGGTCTATCCTTATGTTTTACCAAGTGACAGAAATAATAGGGCTCACACTTCCTATTTACTCTGTACACTGGCTCGGTGATAGGAAATCAATAGGAATCTTTCTTGAACCAGAGAGGGGATAAATTGGGAGATGCAGCCCAGTGTGACACACAATGGCTGTGGAAGGACGCTGCGGCTTATTTTCAATAACACATTGTACTGTAACACA